ATTTTTTCTCTATCTTTAATCCTGCTATATCTCCAAATGTTCTATCTTTTCCAACAGTTTAGGAATTGTCTCTAAAGATTCCTTTAGAATGAATACCAAATCATCTGCAAATGCTTGCAGTTTGTAGGTTTCACCTTTTATTTTCAGTCCTTTAATTTCTATTTAAAACATCCAAAGTTAAGATATATAGCAATGGGGATAATGGACATCCTTGTCTTGTGCCTTTTCGTATATCAAAATTCTCTGTATAATCCCCATTTATAATTTTGCTGTTTGTTTCTGATACATTGTCTGAATCGTATTTATAAAGTTTTGACCAAAGTCCATTGTTTTTAGTTGTCGAATCATAAATTGCCAAGAAACATTATCAAATGCCTTTTGGGCGTCTAAAAATAATAATGCCAGTTGTTTCCCTGGATGCAGTTCATAATATTCCAATATGTCTAGTATTACCCTCAAATTATTTTTTGTCTCTTTGGCAAAAATCTGTTTTGATCTGGGTGTATAAATTGAGTCAAAAATCTTTTCAGTCTCTCAGCTATTATTGAAGTGAAGATTTTGTAGTCCACATTTAATGATGATACCGGTCTATAGGTTTTTTTTTATCTGGGTCAAATCTGAGTCCTCTTTTGGTATCAAAGTAACATTTATTTCTGTCTGTGTATTTGGGAGTTTTGCCTCCAATAAAGTTCATTAGGTACATCTTTCAATGGTAATGTATCTTGTAAACATTTATAAAACTGCCGGGAGTCCATCTGGTTCCAGTGTTATTTCATTTTTTTTTTTGTCTTTTTATTGCCTCTGTCAGTTCCATCATTGTTATTTTTTTCATTTAACATAGTTTTGAAATTTTCTGGAATTTTTGTTAATTATTTTCTTCCATATATTGAGTCATTTTCTCCCACGGAGTTTTTTCCTTAACATACAGTTTCTCATAGTATTCTTTAATTATCTCTTTTATTGCTTCATTTTTAAATTGTAAACAGCCTTTTTCATCTACTAAATTGTTTATCAATTTTTTCTCCTTCTGTTTTTTAAGTTTATAAGCTAACCATCTTCCTGGTTTATTTGTATTTTCAAAAAAGTTTTGCTTTGCTCTTTTAATTTGCTATGCCAATTTTCCTCATTCTATTAAATTTAATTTTTGTTTTATTATTTCCATTTGTCTTTTCAATATTTTCTTTTGTACGTTTATTTGTAGTTCAAGTTCTAATTTTTTAAATTCTTCTCTTAACAACTGACATTGTTGTCTCTTTTCTTTATTTTTTTCCGCTATGTATGTTATCGCTACGCCTTGAAAATATGCTCTGGTTGTATCCCATATATTTTGTAATGTTGTATCTTCTTTTTTATTTTGTTTTAGGAAAAAATCCATTCCTTTTGTTGCTAATTCTATAAATTCTTTCTCTTTGAACATAGATTGATTCAAAGTCTATCTTAATTTTTTCTGCATTCCTTTCCACACCATTTTTAAAGGATTATGATCTGCCCAAATGCCTAATTCTATGTCAATTTCCAGCATACTATATTAACCCTTAATTCAGGCGTCATCCAAATCATATCAGTTCTAGACCAAGATTTATGACTATTAGAATAAAATGTATATTGTGATTTTCCTGGGTTCGTTTCTCTCCAAATATCTTGTATACCAATTTTCTCTATCATGTTAAAAAAAAGTCTTAGGTAAACTTTTTCTTCCTTGTTTCCCTGATTTACTGCTTTTATAATCTAATGTCCCATCTACTATTTTAAATTCTCTTAACAACTGACATTGTTGTCTCTTTTCTTTATTTTTTTCCGCCATGTATGTTATCGCTACGCCTTGAAAATATGCTTTGGTTGTATCCCATACATTGAAATCCCCAATTAAGCATATATTTTGATATTCCATTTCTACTATTTTTCTGTGAAGGTTTTGATAAAATTTTTCTTGTTTGTTATTTGGTGCATATATTGCTATCAAAAGTATCTGTTTTTTTATTTAAAAATATTTCTACCATTACTATTCTTCCTTCTTCATCTGCATAAATCATTTTGGAATCTATTGTCTCTTTAACATATATAACTACTCCTATTTTTTTTTTTTGTTGTTGTTGTTGGGCTGATTATAACAAAGTTTTCCAAGTTTTGGATTTTCCAAAAATTTACGAAGTTCTTTTTTATGTGTCTCTTGCAAACAAATTATATCAGTGTTTAATTTCTGTAGTTGTTTGAAAATTCCTTTTCTTTTTGATGGGGAATTCAATCCATTTATATTCACTGAAAAAAATTCCATTTTCCTTCTCCATTTTGATTTACTTATATTTAGGTTTTGTTGATCTCGTAATCCTCTGCTGTCTTACTGTTCCCTCATCTTCTTGATTCATCTTCTCTTTTTCTTCTTCCATTTGTGTAATTGTTTCCTCTATTGTTTGTTCTATCTGTTTCTGGCTTTTTCCATCCTTTTGTTGATATTGCGTTCTTTCTCCTAGAAATGTTCTATATCTTTCATCAAAATCCTCTGCCTTCCACACTGAATCCAATCGATATCTTGTATTATTCCAATTGATTAGAATCACTTCTAGCATCAGCCATCTAAAATTTACTCCTTTTGCAATCAGCTTTGTAGTCAAGAAATGATATTGTCTTCAAGTATCCCTTATTCTCTTGGGAATCTGTTTCAGCACTACTATTTCTTTATCTTTTTATTATAATGAGTTATCTCTGACTCTTAATATCTCATCCCTTGTTGTTTTCTTCATAAATATTACATGGACTTCTCTGGAAAGTTTGTGTTTCCTCACATAACTTGAATTCATTCTAAATCAGTGGTTCTCAACATTTTTAATGCCGCAACCCCAACCGGTTGTAAGTCGAGGACTACCCAACCAGTCGTAAGTCAAGGACTTTCCCTGCCCAGGAATATGGCACATGCGTGGTGCTGCCCCCTGCGCCGGCCGAAGCGTTTGCAGACTGGGGCTTTTGGCGGGCTCAGCAGGGCAGAGACAGCCTGGACAATTCGTATTGGCTTTTGAAAGCCAATAGAATTAGACTCTATTCAAGAGAGTCTATTCTATTGGCTTTCAAAAGCCAATAGAATAAAAGGGAGTAGCACAGCTAAGGAAAAGGGGAAAAAATGGTGGACTGTGTTATTTGGCGACCCCTGTAAAATGGTCGTTTGACCCCAAATGGGTTCGCGACCCACAGGTTGAGAACCACTGTTCTAAATATTCCATCCACTTCTTGCTGCATCTCCAATCTTTCAATTTTTAGGACCTCTGCTAATAGATTAATAATCACTTCTGCTATATCTTCCTCTTTATCTTCGGGTATGTTCTGGAATCTCAAATAGTGTACAGCTTTCTCCATTTCCAAGGCAGCAACCGCTTCTTCTAAGTTTTAATTTGCTTGTTCTAATCTTTCATTCTCTGTCATTAGTGCTTTTTGTTTCTTGGTGCATCATTTCTTGCATTAGTTGTAAAGTTGCGTGCATCTCTTTTTGGAGATTGTTTGCCTTCTCTCGTAATATTGCTTCAACAGATCCCTGACTTGCGGGACTAGATGTTCCAGAACAGGGTGCAGAAGCAGATTTTTTTGTAATTTTAGTGAGGTTTGATGCACTCATTGTTCAATCAGGCAAATTTTGTAAATCCACAGGAAGAAGAGGAAAAAAAAAAAGGAACAAGCCAACTGCTTTAAGCTATAATCCAATTTTAGAAAAAAAAAATCCCACTACTTTAGGCTACAATCCAACTTTAAAAAGAGCCAACTGTTTTAGGCTATAATCCAAATTTTAAAAGGAGCCAACTGCTTTAGGCTATAATCCAAGTTTAAAAAGGAGCCAATTGCTTTAGGCTGTAATCCAACATTTAAAAAGAGCCAACTGCTTTAGGCTGTAATCCAACATTAAAAAAAAAAAACGAACTGCATAAGTCTAATCCAGATATTTCTCTCAGTTCAAAGATATTTAAAAAAAAACCCAAACCTCTGTTTCTAAATAGTTTCTATAATAGTTATGTCTAGAATTAAGAGATGTAGTTAAAAAAAAATCCTTGTTTTTTCTTTTGTAGAATCACAGAATGTTCTTTGTTTAACACAGGTGTTGTTTCAAGGTCATCACTTTTCTGATTCTTTCTGTATTGTAGCATCTTCCTTCACCACTAGATGTCCTCATTAATTGTAATGTCTCTATCCAGTAATAAAACTTTTATTTAAAATGCTCTTACCAAATCAAAAATGTTAGCCAAAAAAAATATCATTTTTTTTAATCAGTCTTAAATCTTTTCTGCATATTTTTTATATTCTTTAATTTTGTTCCCCCATTTCAGATTTCTCGCTGCTTTTAACTCTCTTCTTCCCAAGTTTTCCTGGGGTTTTTACTTTTAAAAATTATCCAATTCAGGGATTTATATTTTAAAAGTCCATAGGGAAGAGAAATAAAGAACAATCTCACCCAGATCAAACACATTGTTGACAGTCAGCTGTTCGGCGGCGCTGCCACAGCTCTTTGCTTCTTCCCTGACTGTCTATGGCTTGGGCTGTCTGCATATTTGCTGGCAGCCTTTCTCCTGCCTGTTTAAAGAGTTTCCTTGGTCCGTTTGGGCCAACCGCCATTGGCTCAAAACTCCCAAGATTTCCCTTCTTCCTTGCTGCCTCTCCAAGGTGACTTTCCGACCTCTCTGGGTCTCCAGACGAAGTGAAATCAGACTAGGAAAACGGAGCTCCGATTTCTTTCATCCGTGTCGCCATGACACCTGGGGTGAACTCTACTGAGTTATAATTTTGATAGATAAAGTTGGGAGGTGTTGATGTATCTTCATGTTAATGTTTTTCAAATACATTATTTTACTATTTTGAGTCCTGTGGCATTTTGTTGTACTTTCAAAGAAATTGCATTATCTGCCTGAAAATACTATTTTCATCAGATGAATTCTGTAAGATTTTATTTGTGACTAATGGAGAAGATAATGGAAAGTCAATACCTAAATTTTAACTAAGAATTTTTTTAAAATTTATTTTAGACAATGTGCTCTGTGGTCGTTCAGATATATGCAGCAGAACGTAATGCTATGTGGTCAAAGAAATGCTGTGGTGTAGCTTGCCTTGTAAAAGACAATCCACAAAGGTCCTATTTTATCAGAATATACGATATCAAGGTAAAAACTGTTCCTTTGCCATATTTAGTTTATATTTCAATTGTTTATATCTTACGAAAATGTTGAGTCATAGGCAGTTGCATATAATTACAAATTGTTTAAATATTAATTGCTAAAGCAATAAGGATAAAGAGAAGTATGCATAAAGCAAGCACTTTTGTTTTTCATATTATATTCTATTGCAGATATTGTTTTCTTGCTGAAAGTACAAACAGCTTAGTTTTTTGCATTTATAACTTCAGAAAAAAAAATCTGGCCTGTTTGCACTGGTACATGTCCTATTTTTGAATTTTGTCCATATTTGTTTTAATAGTCTCTGAGACAGTACAAGTTTACATGAGAATTGTAGCACATTTTCAGATTTATACTACAAAAGTACAAGTTACCAAGAACTTAAGCTAATTTTTATGTTTTAAGAATAGAATTTTAATCTGAAACAAAGTCATCAAAAAGAATATAAAAACTTAAGAATGTACAAAGGGGAGATATAAATCTATACATATTTGCTTATAATAATTTATTGTCTCAATCTTCTTCCCTTCTCCTTCTGCCCCCTCATCACTCTTGCAGGATGGAAAACAATTGTGGGAACAAGAATTATATAATAACTTTGTATATAATAGTCCTAGAGCATATTTTCATACCTTTGCTGGAGATGTAAGTATTTTCAGGAGTTAATTTGGAAAAGTTATTACTTTATGTTAAATCTAATCTCTTAATGTAATCTATGAAATATTAAGTAATATTACTTAATGTCTATATTTCTATTGATAATTTTCAAACTTTGTAATGTTCAAATAAAACTGTATGACTGGTTTTTAACTTGAAATGTAATTTATGTTTAATGTTATTTTTAGTTAGCTTATAACAGAATAAAAGTATTCCTAATTCCAGAAGAAATCAATAATGGGAACAAAATCTGAAGCCTGCTTTTTTCAGTGGTTTTTTTTTGTTTATATAGTTGCTGAAGTGTACATCTTTATTCCCTATCTTAAGTTGATCACAAACATTATTGTTTTTCAGACATGTCAGGTGGGTCTTAATTTTGCTAATGAAGAAGAAGCTAAAAAATTCCAAAAGACAATAACAGACCTACTTGGACGACGGCAGAGAAAATCTGGTACTTATATAGTTTTTCAGCACTTGTTTATCTTGTTTGTAGTTCTAGCTTATAATAGAAAACCTTTGGCCTGTGGTCATGCCCAATTAATCTGTGCCCTCCCTACTTTGCTTTATAACAGTTCGGCTTGAACAAGTTTTCAATTAATGGAGTCTGTCCAATACAGGTAATCCCTGAGTTATGACAGTTCACTTAGTGACCATTCGAAGTTACGTGATAACCCCCCCAAATATTTATGACACAATCCCGAAACTATGAATGTTGCAGCACCACAGCAGCCATTCACCCTTATGAACGACCGCAGAGGCACTGCAACATTCATCCTGCCTATCCCCCCCCCCCCCGCTCTCCACAATTGCTTCTCCCCTCCCATCCTGCTGCACTAGGTCACTTATCTTGCGAAGATCTGTCTCCTCTCTGCCATGGTTTCTTTGACGATTTCGCTTCCAGCATCTGACTGGCTTGCAAACGTTTTTCGCATGCCGAGAGTGAAATATTGGGCACCATGATCTCTCAGGACTTCAGGCCATGGGATTATGGCACTCAGAGGTTTCCAGTCTCCAGACAAAATGTTTGCAAGCCAATGGGACACTTTGAGACAGCGTGATTCGCTGCCTCAAAGCGCCTTGTCAGCTTGCAATCATTTTGTGTGGAGACTGGAAGTTTCTGGACACTGTGATCTTGTGCCCTGAAGCCCAAGATCACGGTACCCAGAACATTTCACTCTCGGCATACGAAAAGCATTTGCATGCCAATCGGATGCTGGAAGCAAAATCGTCAAAGAAACGACGGCAGAGAGGAGACAGATCTTCTCAAGATAAATAACCCAGCGCAGCAGGATGGTGGGGGGGGAAGCAATTACATGAGGTATCTCAATGGGTTGTGAGAGGCCTTGGGTGGTCTTAAGCAGGTGGCCTGTTCAATCACTAGGCCACCCATGGCCTTCTCCCCCAAAGATACCTCTTATACTTAATGACCTGGGCATTTGATTAGCGAATGCATGGGTGAAAGTAGAGAGTTTTCATGTTCATTTTACATGATTCACTCCAATGAATCCTCAGGTTACGAATGTAATTGGCAGGTTCCATTACATTTGTAACTTGGGGACTACCTGTACTAAAGCAGCATTGGATAAAGTTGGTTGGACCAGTGCTGATACTTCCTAAACTTCCCCTATTTCCCCTGTGCTAAAATTAGGCTTGGAAAAAAAAAACTTGTCATAAAATATTTTTGTTTTGTTTTTGTTTTTTGGAATAATATTGCTTGAAAGCTGTTCTGTGTATTAATAAGCAAGTAATTACTTTTCATAATTTGAATTAAAAAAAGAGAACATGTGAATATGTGCAAAATGGATCATTCTACACAGTGCATGATAGTTTTAGAACAATTTAGTACCAACTAGCTTTAGTGGCTATGCAATCTATTATAGAATTAAGTCACTAAATATTATTATTCCTTCCTAGAAAAGTTAAATAATAAATAATAAAAGCTAACTGAAATTTAGCAAAATTGGTCCAGTGAGAATTAACGGGGGTACCAGAAAACCTAGTAGGATAAACCCAAGATATATAAAGAAAAAATGTTTAAAATAAATAAATAAATTGCTTTGGCTTTGGCACAAGACTCAACATGCTCAAAAGCAACCAGATATGGCATGTTAGTTGAAACAAACATGAAAAAATAGAGAGGCTGGGAAAAGAAATCTGCTGGAAGACCATTTTTGTTAGGAAGTAAAAATATCCTAATATTTTTCTCTCTGGTCAGGTGCTTTATGTACCTAACTTACTTAAAGCTTACTAAATATATAGTATTTTAGTGCCACAAATACATGTTTAATTTTATACACTCATACATAAAAAAGGTACACACATACAAACTATGTATAAGCAAAACTAGATATGTTAATTCTTCATGAATTTTTAGTTTACATTCATCTTTTTCTGCATTATAATGTACTTAGATGGCGCTTGAAATTAACTAGCTTCTTAGATACATTTGCCTAATTTTTAATGTTCAGCTACTGTACATTATGAATTAAGTATGATTTCCATCAAAATGCTGCATCCCACCTGACCCATGCCGATTCTCTTGTGCACCCTTCCCCAGTCCTTGCTGCCCACCTGCATACCTTCCTCGATCAATGCAGCATCTCTTGTGCATGCTCATGCATCTTTCCCAAACCACATGGAAGCTCTTGCATCCCAGACATCCCCTTTCCAACCCATACCCCAAGTGCCCCTTGCTCTCTCCGCCACCTGGCAGCACGAGGAAGAAAGAAAGATAAACTGATTTCTGATGCTCCTGTTGGCTTCCCACAAAGAAACTCAGTAGGAAAGCTGGCAGAGAGTCAGAAGTCACTCCTGCTCCCACTGCTTTTTTCCCCTCATTCCTTTTGTCTGTTTAGGTAAGGGTAGTGATGACCTAGTGGGCAGAGATTACATAGTATTTATATATGTATATGTAAATATATATACCAGCAGCTATATAATATATAGGAAATTCCTTAATCTCTCATTCTCTAAGAAACTATTTATATGAATTATGTTAGTAGGTAAATATGTTTGTGTGTTTTCCATACAATATATAATTTAGAATTTGTTTTAAAAATTAACGTAAGATAAAATTTATTGGAAACAATTGAAATCTATTCCGGCAAAGATATTATTGGAGTTCTTAGTCATGCCTTTCTTTTCTTTTCTTTTCTTTTCTTTTCTTTCCTATTCTTTTCTTTATAATGGGCAGAAGTTGTTTAGCCACTAGAGGGACTCTTAAGTCTGTATTACACTATTGGATATCGTTCTGATTACAGAAAGTTTTCCACAAGTCTTCTAGCATAAATGTTTTAATATGAATTCCTGCATGAAGTAGCAGATTGAACTCTATATTCTAACTGACCTTTTCCAACACTATAACTCTCACAATATAGATTTACTGACAGATAAAGATTTTAGAATGAAAAATGATATAATAAGGGACAGAGCATCCTGTTTTTGTTCCCTTATTATATCAAAATGTATTTTTTTTTCTTTTTTTATGAATGATGAGATAAACTATGTCAGAGTTGCTTCAAAATGTAGGTGGGAGATAACTTGTTTTGTTCCACTGGGGGGGGGGGGACTAAATTACTGCACATTTATTTATTTATTTAAAAAAGGTTTAAATGCATTTTACTGAGGATGAATTGCCTTTCAGTGAAGTAGAAAAAAAGTTTAAAATCCATCTTAAATTTTATTTTGTTCAAATTAAGAACTCAGATGTAGTAGTTTAAAATTAGTGCATTGTTGTGGTCCTTTTGGATATAATTTGCATAAGTGATGGAGGAGTTTAGTGCATATCCTTTTTATAATATATTTGAAATTTTTGAAGTTTTAGATAAAATACTTGCACACTTATTCTTAAATATGTAACTTCTGTAGGTCTAACATTTTAATTGTTAAAAATCTTACTGCACAATATAACACATTGCTTCTCTTTAATATGGTACAATGTGTGATATGTACACATTTGTGAACTATAAGTCTAAAAATTCATATATATTTTAAATGAGGTAATTATAGGAATGTTACATTTTCGATTACTCTTTTTATTTACTTGTCTAGAATTGCATACATTCAGTTGTATTGTTTTTGTAGAATAGAAACAATGGATCAGCAAACTGTCCAAAATTACTAAAATATTGAGAGAAATTTGGGAAAAAATGTCACTTCTTGACAGCAAGTTGTCTGTGTGTTTCTCTCACTTTTTTTTTACTGTCATTTACACTGGAAAACTGACTTTTTAAGCTAGTTAATAGTGGTCCTGTAGAGTGATTATCTAGAGGATCTGGATTCATTTACAGGCCATTAGAGATTACTTAAAACCTTTACTAAAATGGATGAAATATTGATTAGTTTTTTTCTTAACTTCATGCATGAATGGAATGATATTCTTGTGTGTTTTGCCTCCTAACAGAAAAAAGGAGAGATCTACCAAATGGTAAGGTTTTTATTAATAACAATAACATGATCATCATTGTTACATTACTGCCATCTTTAATGTGCATTTCTGAGAATGATTAGAGTGCCCATATTTTCAGTTGATAATACGAATGCAACAGTGAAAAGTTACAAATTACGATGATTTTAATTTTATTTTTACAATATAAAACATGTATACTACTTGTATCGTAACATACTAAGTCATCTTTAACCTGCGTTAAACATATTAACAATAGATTGTTATAATTCAAAATTCACTGAGAAATTTTAGTTGACAAGTAGGAAAAAAAATAAAATATCTGGTTTTGTTTGGTAAGAATAAATTGCATTCTACGTTTACATCTTTTGATGAGTTTAAGTAATATAGCATAGTAGGAGAGAAGATTCTTTGTTTTCCAAAAACACTACAGTCTAGCATTTCTGTACATAATACTTTATGCAATAATATCTAGCTCAGGTGTAGGATGAGGGCGAAGGTTCATTGTCCGAGTTTGTGGAAGGAGCACATGCCTTCCCCAACAATGGCAGAGGATCAACTCCACTCTTTGAGGACTTGCAAGCTGCTGTTGCCACATAAATAGGTCTTTAATACATAGTCCTTTTATGCACAGTCTTTTAATACTCAGTTGAAACAAAAGTCTCAAGGTCTATAAAGTAGCATACAACCTTTGCTTTTTTCCAAAAGTTCTGGCACTATTTGGGATGAGGTGCCGTTTCAGTGTGATTGTTCCTCTTCTAGTTGCTACTGAGCTCTTGGCGAACCTCCAAGCTCCAGACAAGATTCCTACCAGTATATGCTGCAGGACTCCTACCAGTATATGTGCCTCACCATAGCTTGTGGTCCTGGCAATTGAATGAAATAGCTTGTAATAGCTGCCAATCTCCAGATGTTGCCCACGCTTTCCTGTAGGCACTTGCTTTCACCTTTCCTGCTATACACATCCCTCTTCCCACTTTCTCTTAGCATTTGCTTTTCTCAAAAGACTGAGTGGGGTGAGGCTGCCTCTGGAGGTCAGCATGACTTTGAAAATGCCAGTTTTGATCATTTAGCCAGGAAGTTTGAACACTGGCTTGGATGCCTGTGAGTACAGTTCTGAGGGGATTTTATTTATTTATTTTATTAATCAAATTTATAAAGCATGAATACTTGAAGGAAGGGGAGGAGATTGTCTGTATGACTGCAGCTACTTTTGAAAAGACCAGCTATCAACCCTAATCTCACTCCCTCACAGTAGAATTAAATTGGTATTGAATGCATTGCAGATAGCCCTTATCTTACCATAGTTTGTTTAATAACTTTTAAAAAAATATTTTTTAATTTATTTGTTTCAATTTTATCTTTATAAACAACTCAAATGGCAAACATCTAATCCTCCTTCCTTCTGCTGTTTTCTCAACAACAACCCTATGAAGTGAGTTGGGCTGAGAAAGGGTGACTGGCTCAGGGTATCACCCAGTTGGCTTTCGTGGCTAAGGCAGAACTAGAATTCATGTTCTCCTGGTTTCTAGTCCACTGCTTTGTGACTTATGACCTGTCTCAGACTTACAGCTATCACACCATCTCTGTGGTCATGTGATTGCAATTCAGGCATTTGGCAACCGGCTCGCATTTACAATGATTATAGCATTTTGCAGTCACAGAATCACAGTTTGTGACCTTCCCAGCTAGATTCCAACAAGCAAAATGAAATGGGGAAGCAGGATTAATCCACTTAAGAATTGCAGTGAGTCAAATAAATAGAGTGTCTAATTTCTGGGTGAAACTACTTAGGATTGCACTCTAAAATAAGTTAGCTATTGTGTGTATTCAAAATCTTTTTATAATGTCTGCATTTTAATCAAACACTCATAAGGTTCTTACATTTTTCTCCACTCAAGAAGGATATTGATATCTACTGCTGGAGCAATTACTAGGTGATTGAAAAAGTTTGAAATATATTGTTATGAACCTTTATATATAATATTTCCTTGTTTTGAAACATTCTACAATGCTTTTGAATATTGAAACCAATAGATTATCAAAAGAAAGAAAAATCAATTCAAATCAAGCATACAGTCTAGTTGTATTCTTACAGGTCCAAGTCTGCCAATGGCAACTGTTGACATCAAAAATCCAGAAATCACTACTAATAGGTTTTATGGTTCACAAGTCAACAATATCTCCTATACCAAAGAGAAGAAAAAAGGAAAAGCAAAAAAGAAAAAATTGACAAAGGCAGATATTGGAACTCCAAGCAACTTCCAGTAAGAATGGCCGTTTAATTTGTTAACATTTTAATTTTACAAAAGAAAAAAAAGCTCCACAGATGTGTTTCTTTGCATCTCAGTACAAAAATCAATCATAATCCTACCTGCACAGCAAGAGTGTCCTATAATAATTACCCTTCAATGCTCCATTTAAAAATCAAAGCCTTGATGGCTTATGTAGTTAAATGAAAAAGTGTTAGTATAAGAAAATACAATATTGAATCCACAGAAAGAAAGAGGAACAAAGAAGGATGGTGAACTCTAATAGAACACAAAACCAGTACAATATTAAATTATATATCTTTCTTTGAAAGCTATTCTATGTATGGTGCTTCCCTTCCTTCAGTTGAGAGTTTCAGCATTTGCTAATTTTAGGTGAGATGAATATCTAGATGATAGTATTTGATAAATTTATGGTTTGATTACTCCTGACACAGAAAATTCTAAGCCATTTTGGAATCTGTAGAAAATTAATAAGTATAGAATCCATTTCATTATTATTTTAACATTTTCTATTTTTTTCTCAGATCAGTGAAATAATTGTAACAATGTTTATCTGCTTACCAGTCTTAACCTCATGTATCTAAAGTTTTGGTTTTTTTTTTCCTTGTTTCCTTCTTATCAGACACATTGGCCATGTTGGCTGGGACCCAAACACAGGTTTTGATGTAAGTAAGCATGGTGAAGATTTACGTTAATCTTTTAACATATAAAGCTTAATTTCTCTGACTGCTGATTCATTAGATGGACATCCTGTTGTTCTAGAACAAAAATAGAAAAGTAGTTCAACTGTGATCCGTGTATTTGGGTTGCAGCCTTCAACAATTTAACCCAAATTTATTTATTTCCCAATTTAAAAAAACAAAACAAAACAGAAATTCACGTGTCTCAGAGATTTCAGCATTGTTTACTTACTTTAGTAGAATTCAGTAATTCAGACATTTTTATACAAATTATGTCACATTTAGTCACAAGAATGGATTTGCAATTAACTATGATAAAATTTCCTGTAGGTTAACAATTTGGATCCAGAATTGAAAAACCTATTTGATATGTGTGGAATTTCAGAGGCTCAGCTGAAAGACAAAGAAACTTCCAAGGCTATATATGATTTTATTGAAAAAACAGGAGGAGTAGAAGCAATTAAAAATGAATTGCGTAGACAAGGTGAGCCTTCTTATATTCAATCTCTAAAGAATATTTAGAATGTTTAAATAGGGTAATTTAAAAAGTGCTCTCTAAATTTAAAAATCTATTTGCAATTTGTTAAAATATAGTTACATATTACGTCATATTTTCAAATGTATCACATTATACTACAGAGGATATTTTATATTATTTGAGCCTCAATCTCTGTAGCCTATAACATATTTCTACAATTCACTTCAACAAACATTTTGATATTTCTTCAGTGGAATACCAGAGCCAAAAATAAGAATTCAAATTTTAAAATATACCAAGTAATGTAACAATTTCTATATATCTTCACTGAATTATCACCATCATCATCATCAAATGTCTCTAATGGTGGAATATAATTTTATTGGACAACAAATATTTATAATATTATAGTGCTTAACATTGTATGAGCATTGAATTCATGAATATTTTTATCATGCTAGAGTGAGGGTCGTGCATGGTATTATCAGTCTCATTTGGTTGAATATAAGATATGAGGGAATGTGGTAGCCTTCAGAGAAAGTTAATATATGCTACGTTTATAATCTAGGCCCACCACGCTGCATTGGTATGTATGAATTCTAGTCTTTTTAATTTTCATATACCTTTTTACTTAATAGGAAGACAATCCCCCCCAATAATTAACTATGAATTAATAGAGTATACATGTGTTAGAGAGAGAGAGATCCCATAGCCACATTAGTTGCTATTTTTTCACATTTTGGATGGAAGGAAAGAAGACAAGCTAGTTTGTATATGACCTTTTGTATTCCTGTGTGAAAGAGAATGATTGATGCATCCACTTGGAACCCAGTTTGTTTTATAAATGGAATTCCTTTTTCAGGGACAATTGGTTTGGATTAATTGGTGGTTTGGGGTCCCTCCTTAGTTCCCCCCCCCCAGTTTTATTTTTTTAATGTGGGTTTTGATAACACATTTATCAGATAGATAGATAGATAGATAGATAGATAGATAGATAGATAGATAGATAGACAGACAGACAGACAGACAGACAGACAGACAGACACACGCATACATACGTATACGTATATGTATATTTGGAAAGGTGAGGAAGCATGGTACACAATCTTTTATCTGGATTCATAGGGTTGCCTCTTGTCCATTCTTCTTTCAGAGTTGTCTTCCTTTTGGGTAAACATGGTATTAGCATTTAAGTTTCAGCTATGATTTGTATACATAACTATGCTTTATTGGCACACTCTAATTAATCTTTCTAAGGATACTAACTGACTTATCTCAATATTTCTCCAATTCAATATTTGCAGATTATGTGTAAGACTTGTATAATAAGAAATTATTACTGCCTGAGTGCTTGTATCTTGAGGTCTTGATTAAACTATCTTGTGTAGCTGATTTTTCTTATTCTAATAGCAAGCCCCTCTACTTACAAACGACAATCAATACTAGTCGTAGCTGAATGAAATGCATTTACCAATAAGGCTTTGTGACAAACTGTTCAGTATGTGCTCTGGATCCGCTAGTGGTGGGGATTGTGCATAGAACATTGGGTATCAAATATGTGCAAATTTGCTTAGATTTTTCATTATCCGGCTCTCCTGAAATGATACGTATCAAAGAAAATGATAATGAAGCTTCCTATTATGTATTGTATCTTGACTATGCACTTTGTTGCTTTAACCACTTGGAGTTTTCTGCACATCTTACCCAAATTGATCTATATATATCCCTTTAGCTTCCAAATTATAATAATTTACTGGATCTATCTTTGAGCTATAGTGGAACATAATTCTAATGCTTCAGTTGATCATTTTATGGGACTGGAGATCGATATGTATTTTGCTTTTTGTTTTAATTTTTAATATGTTTTACATTTTGTCAGAATAACAAATGGGTACCGGTAATACTAGATAGACTTTTTTCTAAACAAATAAGCAAACATCTCCATAGATAAAAACATTGGTAACAGAATGTAACATTTAAATAAAAATATTGCCCATTGAATATATTTATTAGATATTAAAATAAAAGTTTATATTATAATTGGGAGAAATAGTATTATCATCTGCTCTTTTTAACTGATTGCAACAATAAGTGTAAGTGGCAGAAAGTTAAACACAATTTAAGAGAATCTTCAGGGAGTATGTGAAGTATGGATGAATGCTTTTTAAGATATTTGGTATTTTGAATTGCATAGGTCTTGGCTTCAGAGAGCTAGCTCATAGTGAATAAATACTTTTCTGTGTCTTTGATTGTTTTTGGTTTCAGCTCCACCACCACCTCCACCATCTAGAGGTGGTCCACCTCCTCCTCCACCACCACCACCACCACCACCACATAGCTCAGGCCCCCCTCCTCCTCCTGCTAGGGGAAGAGGAGCCCCTCCCCCACCACCTTCAAGAGCTCCAATAACAGCACCCCCTCCGCCACCTCCTTCTAGACCTGGTACTACAGCACCACCACTTCCACCAAATAGGATATATCCTCCTCCTCCACCAGTTCATACTTCTGCTCCCCCTGCCCCCCCTCCTCCTCCTCCATCATCAGGTGGTTCTTGTGGACCTCCACCACCACCACCTCCCCCTCCCCCTCCTGGTCCTCCTCCTCCACCTGGTCTTCCATTAGAGATTGACCATCAATTTCCAGCTCCTTCAGCAAATAAAACAGCTCTTTTAGATCAAATAAGAGAAGGTGCCCAATTAAAAAAAGTAGAACACAACAGTCGTCCAGTCTCCTGTACCGGAAGAGATGCACTACTTGATCAAATACGACAAGGTATACAGCTGAAGTCGGTGAGTATCATTCTTTCTGGCTTCAAATTTCTAGATTATTTTTAAAGCCATTTTCCTCTATAGATACCCCTTGATTTACAGTAGCAATTGGGACTAGAATTTCCATCACTAAACAGTGTGATTGCAAAGCACAACTGCATCACTTAGCATCGGCAATCCTGCGGTCCACAGTTGTTGCACAGTTGTTAGGCAAAACAACTTCCTGCAGGCTTCCCACAAGAAGTGTGGAAGTCAGCAGAAAGTTGTAAGTCCTAGTCTGACAGACAGGTAAATGGCTGTTGCTCTGTACGTGTGTGTGTGTGTGGTTGTGGTTGTGTGTGTGAGAGAGGGGGGGGGAGAGAGGGATGTGGCTCAGGGAGGCTGCAGGCAGATGCAAGGGGTTTACAAGTTTTTGAAATGTGTTTATTGGTTATTATTTCCAAATTATTAGACAACAATCAAATGCCTCTAAATTAAACTAATAGTAAAAGAAAATGGTAAGATATTTCAGGGAATATTTCCACAAAGAGAACAAAATCATCTTATATACTATAACTTCTGCAAATATGTTTGAATAATAACTAAATGAATTTACCAAAGAAGTAGAGTTGGCCTTTCTGTGCTCCAGATGAACCAGGAAAAAAAGGCAATTTAGTTCTTATGTTTTGAGGTTCATTGTTCATCTTCGCCTGTTTAACTGATCTTTTCTCTAGTTGTTCTTTTTAAGAGAGCTTAATTTTTTCAAAAAAGGTTCATTTTGGAGCTTTTTTCAAGGTTGCTTATTTTTAATTTTTGCTTTATATACAAAAATCTGCACCCCCAAATATCAAAAACTATTACCTTGGAACTCTAAAATATAGTTGATTTTAAATATCTAAAGCTTTTATCAGCCTGTTTTTTTTAAGAACGTCTAATATTTTACCGCCTGTTTTTTTAAGAACGTCTAATATGTTACCACCTGTTCCACCTTAGGCATAAAATCTGGCTGAGTGACTTTGGTCTCGGGGTCCGTCTCGTTCTCTCTCTCTCTCTCTCTCTCTCTCTCTCTCTCTCTCTCTCTCTCTTTCATCCTCTTGAGGTATTGATAAAAACAATGAAAGATATATATAGGCTTCTGAAAAAATATGAAATGTTTATTAAATACTGTTGCATTCATTCTTATATACTTAATATTGCCTAAGGTATCTGATGGCCAAGAGACTGTACCAGCTACACCTGCACCTACGTCAGGTATTGTGGGTGCACTAATGGAAGTTATGCAGAAAAGGAGCAAAGCCATTCATTCTTCAGGTAGGTCAGGAAATCAACATTTCTAACCCTAACCATCAAGTAGGAAAAAACTTTTTATCTTTGCAGCACTACTAGATGCTCAGCATCTTCAGAGGCAATTTCTAATCTGTTTTATTTCCTTTGGGAAGTTTCATGAAAGGAGTAACCTTTTAGCTTTGGTCATTAAAATCCATGTAGCTGAATGTTTAAAGAGATGGTTATTTCTTTAGTGCATGACAAAGTTCTGGCTTTCGGAGATCCCAGCAATAATAGGTCTCCAAGCTAAACAGTCAAACAAAGGCTTAACCATTTTGATTAGTTTTGCTCTGTCACCTTGAAGGAAGGAAGGAAGGAAGGGAAAAAAAGAAAAGAAAGAATTAGAGGACTTTCTGTTTTTGAAATGAGAATAAAACATTGCATAAGAGGAAAAGAAAAGAGAAATGATGACTCGGGAAATAGGTTTCCTTTTCTTGAATAACCTGTTGGCTAGAAATCATTAATTGGATTGACAAATGATTAAAAGATACTCATAAATCTAGTGAGCTCAGTCTTCGGCTTTGGATATGATTTTCAATGCATGAGTACTTAGCCAAACATTAAAATTTAATTAAGATTATCTCCTTTTTGTATAATGAATAACTGGGTGACCCTTTTTAACAACAAATGTAAACTTCTCTTTTTCACAATCAAACTGAGAAAACGCTTCTAAAACCAGAATCCTATAATTTGATAAATTAAACTTAAATTCAATTGTTAGCTTTTTCTTCCTCCAACAAGTTGATGGAGTGTCACTGAAGGAGCAGGGCAATCCTGAACCCAAAACAACTTGTTCATTAAGGCCTTCACTTACAAATTAGAAGTCAGGTTTGTACTTTTAATGTGTGATTGTTTCATCTAACGCTTAGATTCTAATTTGCATAGACATTTACATTTTATGGTAAAATGCTGGTTAATTGATAACCAGCATAATTTTACCAATATTTATCTTTACTAAGACTTTTAAGTTTTCTTTCCAAATAATTATTTTTCTATCAACAGATGAAGATGAGGATGAAGATGATGAAGAAGACTTTGAAGATGATGATGAGTGGGATGACTGATCAATATATTATATCGTATATATATTTTTACGGTGAAATACTAAACTACTTTCTGTCTATGGATTCTGTAAAATTATCATGTAAATGTTTTACCAATTTACTGTATATTTTTGTTGCCTTTTGCTTTTTTATTAATCTGTGCAATACCTCATTTAATCTGTAAAGGTTTGTCATCCTATACAAGGTTACTCCCTTCTAATTATGTAAAAGTTTACATCAGATGCCTAGTGTACATGTGAATACTTTCCATTCCATCAATAAGGGAGTTTTAATGTAATCTGTGAGATTGACAAACACACCTTAAATGTATTTAGTTATAATTGCAAGAAGGAAAACACTATTTTCATACCCTACTTTTTCTGTATCTAGATTTTCTTATTAAAACCTAATATAGCACTACATACTTTAAGCAATGCAGCTCCTAGTTTTAGCTTCTTCATCTGGGAAACTAAGCTTCATGGATGAGGCTGATAAAATGATGAGCATTTCAACACTACCATTCAGATTTAGTCTTCAAGCTGTAAAGCAATCACTAGAAAAATTAAGTGATCATGAAATTTTTCCCTGATCTGGAGCATTGTTGCCTATATCAGAGCTTTGATACCTGAATACTGAATTTAAGAATAGTCTGTTTGGTCAATAAATCTGATAGAAACCACCTTTGTGACTTTTCCCAACTGTCGTTCATGGCAAAGAGGAGTCTACATTTTTGGCGACTGCTGCAGTCATTATTTATTTTTATATAAGGTTTTTTACTGAAGGGCTGTAGTTGATGTTTGCTTTGAATAATAATGGTTGTAAATTAATTTTTTTAAATGTAGGGCATTGGTATGCTAATAAATGAACTTAAGTAGTGTAACTGCAGTTTTCATGGATTGCGGGACATGTCAACACAGACACTGGATCCTATAACTAAAATAAATAGAAATGGAGCCTTAAACCCATACCTTATTGATTGTGACAACACTAGATGATAGAAACTGTTGCTAAAAGGCCAATGAACATCTTGCTGATGTTTCCATTTTTCTGAACTTAGTCTCTATTTGTGTTATCCAGATCAGTGGGTGGGCACTCTTCCATCAAATACAGAATTTCTCACAGGCTCCTGTGGTTATTCAAGCATGTGGGTCAGTGTTGCCTTGTTTCCTTTTGACTCGAAATTGCTAGACTTCAAAGCAAGAGTAAACAGAGCTAATTGAACTCTTTATCTTTTGCTTTGAGAGGAAGAGATTCACTACTACAAGGTTTATAAGCCACTTTTTTATATATACCAAATTTGCACATTGCAGTATTTCACTAGAAATAAGGGATGTGGTCTTAAAAGTTGGATGGTCCTGCACTTGGAATTGCATTCCAATATATGATGGGAAAATTTGAGTTTTCATTTTAATTTTTCATCTTTACTAGGAGACTTAATATTTGGACTATTGCTTATTTTTCATGCAGTATTGCATTTAAGATAAGCTTTATCAATGCTAATACTCTACTAGCAGTAAGAATACACTTAATAAATGCAGAAGGTTTCAAGTGAGACATACTTGGAGTACAATTAATCCCTGCTTGCTTCCTTCTTCATTTTTCTTCTGTTCATGACATATTGGATAGAATTATCTTTATTGAAATCCAGTGTTGGCCTGATCTTAGCAGGCTGGACCTGCATGATTTGGCTTGGATGTTTAATGCAATTATAATGTATGTCTAGTATTTCGGTTTTTACTTCTGTAAGAAGGGTGGGATTTAAAGAGTATGCTGATGAAAGAAGATGTGGTAAGCAGAAGTTAAACTATTCCAAAGGGAATAACTAATTTGATGCAAACAACTTGGAAAGGAACATTTTCAAAGTATCTTCATTTCAGTTGTATCTCTGGCGCTGCTTTGTGCTAGAACAACTTTTCAGTTAGCATTGCTGCTAGTGGGCTTGAGAATTGTGAGTATGTAATGATGCTATGGAGGTGGGTTAAAAGTTATGCACATGAGAGAAAATATTAGTGGCCTGCAGTACAGCCAGTAGGCTTTCCTCTCTAGTTTCATAGAGGACATTTAAAGAGTTGATATTGCTCAATTGGTCTCTAGCAATATTACTTGTAAATTAAGCACATGTTTCTAAAGTTAGAAGAGTTTGAAAAGAGATACTATTTTGAGGATACTTGTGTAATCCATTAATCATTTACCCCCAAATTTTTCCATCTATAGAAAGTATATCTACGTTATTGCACAAACATTCAACTGTTTTGCTTTCAGTAGCATATTGTATGGTTTTGATTTAAAGCATGAACGCAGTTACAATTAGATTTAAGGTCACAGCTGCATGTTTCTACTTTCCTGCTCTTGATGTGGGCAGGAGGCAATGTTTCTTGTCATTGAATCACTACTGCTAACTCTTGAAACCAGGGCAGCCTTTTGCATCAGTTAAATTGACCGTCCGCATAGCCTTGCCAAGTAGCGAATGAACCTGAGGACTGTCTCTGAACATTGCGCTTAGACAATAGCACCTAGTGACTTGTACTCTGAAAACATCTCAATCATTCAGTTTTCCATTTCATCAGATTGAACTTCTTGGTATGTGAATTTCCTTTTGGCTCTTCTTTTTCCTCTTCTTTGGAAATGTACAGTGAATAGGATGTTGCACTGGTGGCAATTCATCATGAAGCATAATAAAATTAATTTGTCTCAATATAATAGTATGGTGTGACTTTTATGACTTCGCTTAAGGGTGATTTGAAATCTGTTGTGTTGCTCAAAAATTGTTCCAGATATTTCCTTAAATTGGCTTCAACAAATAACTTACATATGTCTATAGCATTATAATGGGCTAATTAAGATATAACATATAAATGCTCTGATACTTCTTCCTAATGTTTCCTAAGGGAAGACAAGTAAATGTTTTTTCATAGGACACTTCTGCTCCCCATTCTCACTCTAGGACCATTGCCATTGGATGCCCGATAAGATGACCTTTATTGTCATTTTTTTTCTGTGAACATACTGGCACTCTTTAAAAATGAAATTCTGTGGAAAGGATCTTAATTATTGTTTCATAGTAAAAAAAAATTTTGTTTATAGCATGCCAGGGGAATAATTATAATACTAATTCACTGAATAATAGTAATGACAATAGAAATGCCAGATTATTGGACTAGAATTCTCAGAATCTTAAATTAGTTGTACTGATTTAGAATTCTGGAGGCTGAAAGCCAATGCATACAAAGTGTTATCAGTTGAAGAAGACTGTAGGCCTTAAACCAGTGCTTCTTAAATGGAGGGGGGGGGGTAATTAGAGTAAGACACAGGGGTCTCACTCTCCCTTCACCACTTTTCTGAACAACAGAATAGAGGTCATCAAGTTATTGGGGGAGGGGGCTTCATTCCAAACCGTAAAGTTTGGAACCTAACTGAATATTTCTTCCAAATATGCCACTGCAATCTGCAATTACTATAATTAAGAGGCAGTTTTTTTCAAGAGTAGAATAATCAGATGAAATAGGATTAAAAAGAATTATATGCTGCAGAGATCCAAATTCAAATCCTAACTATTAAATAGAAATATTTAAAGAGTTTCAAAATTCGTTATTCTTAATATAGTTCAGTATACAGTATTGAAATTATTTTCTTGTAATGACTTGTGTGCCACTTTGCCCATTTTTGATCAGCAGGTCCTGCCTATAGTCACTCATATACTAATACCTTTAGATTGGACTGCTGCACTATACTCTACATGGGGTGGTCTGGGCAGTTATGTGTGCTCCCAGAACAGCCTTTGTTCCACCTCTGTTCCATGAGCTGCACTGGTTGCCAGTTTGCTTTTGGGTCCAATTCATGGTACTGGTTTTAACCTTTAAAGCTCTTTATGCGATGCGGCTAGGCTACTAAGGAACTGTCTCTCCTGATTTACCTCAGCCTGCCCCATTAGAAAAGGCATGCTGCAAGTACCATCAGCTAATAATCTACATTTGGTAAGTCCCAGTGCCTTTTTTGCTTTAGCCCCACCTTATAGAACATCCTTCCTCTCACTATTAGATTGATCCCATCCCTTTTGATATTCAGAAAAGCCATGAACACCTGGATATATGACTAAGCCTGGCACTCCAGGAACTGTAGTGAACTGGAAACTTGTCTAGATTGCTTCGTTGTTAAGGGACCATTTCATTCTCCCTTCAGCTGTGGTTTGTATTTTTGGTTTTTATATTACTATGGTTTTTATATTTGTATTTGTTGTTTATATTTTCTATTCTATTTATTGTACACCGCCCAAAGTCATCTTTGGTGAGATAGGCAGTCATACAAATTTAATAAACAAACTTTGAGTGGAAAAATATTTTTTCCCCTTGGTCCTCTTCACTGTGATATATAAATAGCACATACTGCAGAAATTTTGAGGAGTCAAATGAGCATTAACTCCATGAAGAATGCATGGGCATGTATGCAGATAGTCCTTATTTTGGATCACAATTTGGACAAGAATTTTGGTTGTTAAGCAAGGCAATTATTGAGTTGCACCTGATTTTGTAATCTTTTATGTCATGGTTGTTAAGCAAATCATATGGTCATTAAGTGAATCCAGATTCCTCCATTGACTAGCTGGGAAAGTTGCAAATGATGATCACATGACCTTGGGACGCCACATCCTTCATAAACATTGTTGCCAAGTGTCCAAATTTTGATCATTGGGATGCTGAAATAATCATGAGAGGACCGATTAGAAGTCCCTTTTTTCAATACTGTTGTAACTTCAAATGGTTGTTAAATGAATGGTTGTAAGTCAGGGATTACCTGTATATCTTGTATTTTTCATGCCACAGCATACAATTTGGAGAATGATTTGACAACACAAATTACCTTGCTTAATATCAACTTTTAGAAGTACAGTATTTATTTCAAAAGAACATTGGAATGGTAAATGGGAGGAAATGTAGGAAAAATAATAAAAGTTCCTTATGGTGTCCTTCATTTTAAACTTGAGGAACTACAAGAATTCTGCAGTATTCCTTTTATTTCTGTAAATGAAAGTAGTAATTGTGTCCGTTTCTTCACTGCAGGTTACATGAACAACTTACAGAATGCTGCGTAGAGTTGCTTATTTTCTATTCCTTTTTCTTTTGAATGGACTTCTGGGATTACCTTAACTTTGTATTGATTAATAGACTACTTTGGGAATCATTCCAGTTGGAAAAGTACAGAAAAAAGCTGTAAAGCTAATATATTAGAAGCCAAAATGAATTGATGTCCTGATCTGCCTGTTAATGTTTTCTGTAAAATGAATACCGTACAATAATTATTTGGAATGTAAAAATTGCTGATCGGCAAGATACTGATAGATTGCAAGATTTGGTTGCAGTTTTATTTTCTCGTGTTATTGCCATATACTGTGAATTCCACGTAGGCATCAAGAAGGGCATCCAGTCAGTAAACTCTCAGCTCTATCCATTAATTAAGCTTTATCCATCAAATTAAGGGACCACAGGGTTATAAAAAGAAAAATCTCTAGAGTAAAGTAAACTTAGTGTAATTATTTTAAGTATCATCATCTAGCCATTGTCTATACATGGCAGGATGTTTCCAACTATATGGTTCTGATCTTTTTTTTTTTTTTTTTTTTACAAATTTGGCCTGCAATACTTGCTGATATTGTCAATCCATCTTGTTTTAGGTCTCTTTGGTGGACACTTTTTATCCAGTGGGATCCATTCTATGACTGCCTTGGTCCACCTGCTACCAGTTCTTCCTATGTGACCAGCCCATTTCCATTTCAATTCTTTTACTCTCTTGATAATATCATATACTTTCTTTTTTTCTCTAATTCATGTGCAGGTCTTTCTATCTTATCTTGTAATGCCAAGCATGTATCTTTCCATGGTTCTGTGTGCCACTCGTAACTTTTGTATCGATTGTGAGATTAGTGTCCATGTTTCACCGGTATGTGTTAGAGCAGGTAGCACACAATGATAAAAAACTTATTAGGCATAGGGGGAGGTTTTTGAAAATTATGCTTAGCTTGCCAAATGCCTGACAACCCCATTTAATATGCCATTCAATTTCCTTTATCATTTTCCATTGGGATCCATTGGCCAAGGTATACATAGTGGTCTACTACATCTAATTCTTCTTCAGATATAAAAAAAAATATCTTTCTTTAGTGAATTTGTTAAACGTAACCTGGCTTTTTTTCAGGTTTATTTTTAAGCCAAATGGTTCTGCTTTGTGCAGCTCTTGTATGTGTCTTCTCAGAAGAGCTACATCTGCAAATTTTAAGTGATTTAAATAGCCATTGATTTTTATTCCATCTTTTGCCCAGTCTAGTTTGCAAAATACTTCTTCAAGGCAGGCTGAGAAAAGGGTAGGTGATATTGTATTGCCTTATCGAACCCCTAGTTCTATGTTGATTTTCACTTTAAGATCATTAAGGCAAATTGTCGCCTTTGTTTTTCATATATTGATCATAGTAAGTTTAGGTAAACAGTGTCTATGCCTTGGTTGAGCAATGCATTAATTATTGCTTGCTGGAATACTGAGTCAAATGCCTTTTTATAGTCAATGAAAGCCATGCACAGAGGCATGGTGTACTCGTTGTGCCTTTCAATGACTTGCTGAACAACCTGGATGTGATCCATTGTACTATAGCCACTTCTGAGCCCTGCTTGCTCCTTTGGCTGTGCGTCATTTAATGTTCTCAATATTCTTTTTGCTATTATCTTGGTGAAAACCTTGTAGATGACTGAAAGAAGGCTGATTGGATGATAGTTCTCTAAAACATCTTGGGTCCGTTTCTTGTGAATAAGAATCACTTCAGCATTTTTCCATGCATTTTTCTTCTCCGAGACATCTTGAGTATAGTTTTGCCAGTATCTTGTGCAAACTGATCACCAGCTTTCAGCATTTCAGCTGTAACAGTCATTTTCTGAAGCTTTGCCATTTTTCATTGATTTTATGGCACTTGATGCTTCCTCCACTAGGATATCTGGCATTTCCTTTTTTGTGGGTGTTGTTACTTTTGAGTGATCTTGATCTTTATATAGGTCTGAATAGAATTTTCCGATTTCCTGTCTTGTTCTACACACAGAGCTATCTTCACATTTTAATGCAAAAACCTTCTTTCTTGTATTTGTAAAGTTGCATTTTGTTCTATTAATCCCTTTGTTTTCTTCAATTGCCTTTTTCACAAGCTTCACGTTAAAGTGACATTTCTTCTTGGATACATTTTCTTATGGTCTTGCATACTCCAGTTTACTAGTGAAACTTTCGGTATTCTTCATTGTTCATCGTTTTTTATTAAATCAATAGTTTCATCAGAGTTTTTTTTAATATTTTAACCAAAGCTTTTCTATTATAAATTCTGGGACTATGACAACATGCTGTTCCTCATCTTGCCTCATCTGCTGTAAGCTAAGTCTGCTATTCTCACTCCCTGTGGCAACAGATTGGGCAGGAAAGCTAGGGTGATAATGTCAGCTACCAGCAAGAGACTAGCTCAGATGTGGAGGATTCAATGACACTGATTTACTAGAGGGATTGATGTGACCATCATTTAATATTCCCTGCAGGCTTCTCCAAAGAGAGGTACCAAATTTTAATCGTGGGCAGCTGGTGACAACCTAATCTTATCGGTTGTCTGGCTCTGCTATAGTTCACTCGTATCCTGCAATCCATCAACTGCTCAAGTGGTTTCCCAGACATTTGACAAAACGGATAGAAAGGCAAATGCATTTATGCAGAAGAAGAAAATGCTTGGCAGTCTTTGTGAGTTTGTCTGAGGTTATTTTGCAAAATTGTCCAGGGCTGACCTTATCTGGACTTGGAAGCCTTTGGTTGTGTAGGTTGAACTAAAAAATAGAAACCACATAGACTCACATACATCAGCACAAACTATTTTTGTTTTCACCCAGAAAATTGCAGTTACGTCAATAAAATCACTGGGACTAAATTTAATATTTTAATTTGATTTTTGTCTTACCTTTATTACTTTATAAGTAACTCAAGGTGGTGAACTTATCCAATAGTCTTTCCTCCTCCTATTTTCTCCACAACAACCATGTGAGATTAAGTTGGGCTGAGAGAGAGTAACAGGCTCAAAGTTACCCAGCTGGCTTTCATTCCTAAAGTGGATTAGAACTTAAAACTGTTTCTTGAATTCTTCTCCAGCACTTAATCACTGTACCAAACTGCCTAAGTTATTATATTAGCTAAATAACCACTATACCAAATTGGACAAGTTATGATTAGGTAAGTTAGGTAAAGCTAGTTCTATGTGTGTGAGAGAGAAAATAAGATGATAGCTAGGGCATTGTAATCAAAGCCCTGCCACTTTTTATATGAATGTGCTGTTGACCCAATGGTTATGCTTTGGATCACAGCACTACAACATAATCCTGGGTAGGGTTTTTTTGTTTTGTTTTTTGGGTTGTTTTTTTTGGGGGGGAGGGGGTTCAGTTTAAACACACCAGAGAAGGAGATTAACCCTCAGTGTGGGACTCACTTCAGAATAAGCATTACTTTGTGCTATAATACTCCATTTTTATTGCTAAGTACGTAAGGCTTTCCTGCTTGAGACCCAAGAACCAATTAGAAGCCATGTTTTCTTGGATTTGGTTTCATTCAACCATGCTTTAAAGCAGTGGTTCTCAACCTTTTTAATGCCGCGACCCCATAATACGGTTCCCCATGTTGTGGTGACCCCCAACCCCCAATACATCACCGGGTGCCAGGGGCGTGGCCAAAGAAAAGGGGGAAAATGGCAGACAGCCTTGTTTGGCGACCCCTGTGAAATGGTTGTTCGACCCAAATGGGGTCCCGACCCACAGGTTGAGAACCACTGCTTTAAAGTTTATGTAGACAAATTTTAAATGATTTGACCAAGTTATGACCTCTGGAAGTCCTCAGTCAAAGAATGATTTTATTCCAAGTAATGTCTAACTATCAGCATAGATTTCACCACATATCAATGGGCCCAGTTCCTTCTATAAGCATAACCCTGCCAAAATGCAATTTCAGTAATGGAGAAGGCAGACATGACCAACAATTACAAGTTACCAACTTCATTAGGGCAGTTCCTTGACTTAGCCAGATTCCTATGATTCCCACTTTTTTCTGCAGTCTTGTTTAATCTTATGGTCTTTTTTATAATACATAGCTGCTGTCCCATGTACTCACAAGAACATCACCCCAAGAGATACTACATAACTTTATCTTAATTCTTCCATTCTGTTCTACAGATGCATAATTTTGCCAAGAGCTGAATAACCACTGTCTTTCTGATTGAAATTCCCACCTGAATCAGATCTAAGGACAATCTAATTCAAACTTCCATTTTCAAGGTTATATAAAATCAAATTGTTTTCAATCAATTTGCTTTGCAGATTCCATCAACATTACCTTTCTTAATGAGGCTTTTTGGCTGCAGATCAAGAGCCCTTGAAATTTTCAAAGAAGCCTGAATTGTACAGCTGCGAAAGAACTGCAATTATATATATACAGTTGCCTTGAAACTATAGGAAAACAATTTAAAACAAGATCCCTTTTATTGAATCCCCCAATAGACTCTTGTTCCTTTTTTTGCCCATTAGTGAGTTTTGGCCACTTATTTCAACTACCTGGAATTAATTGACTTGATATATCTGCAATATTCATGTAACTGATTATTCATAAAAATTTGCAAACTTGTTTGTTGGAGTTTATCTTCCATTGGACAAAAAAAATATTGGATATGAGATTTTATCCGAAGCGGTGAGCAAAAAAAAGGAACATAAGACCCCCATTATAATCCTTATTACGTTGTTGAATCAATTTTAATCTCTGCCAGGGTGTACTTGAACTGTAGCCAGGTTGTCTCAGCAGCTGTTATTTGATCATTGCTACAAGTATGACAACTAGCAGCACTGCATAGTCCAAGAACTAGATACAGAATTTAGTAATCTTTGTGCACAATTTTCTATGAACAGCTGTGCTGTCATTTTAGAGGCTAGGAGTTCTTCCAAGAAACACAAGGACAGCTCTTCAGATATGACCTTTCATTTTTATTCTACTCTAGTTAAGGTTCTAATTTTACATCATTGAAAAGAAAAGGAAAAAATAATTACTTCATTGCAGTCCTAATGATATAATGCAGTGGTTCTCAACCTGTGGGTCGGGACCCCATTTGGGGTCGAACGACCATTTCACGGGGGTCGCCAAACAAGGCTGTCCGCCATTTTCCCCCCTTTGGCCAGGCCCCTGGCACCCGGTGATGTATAAGTGGTTGGGGGTCACCACAACATGGGGAACTGTATTATGGGGTCACGGCATTAGAAAGGTTGAGAACCACTTTATCAATGCCTTTATCAATCTGGAAACTTTCCCTGTGTTTTAATAAAAAAATGGCCAGGAGGATGAACAACAAAGGGACTTGGAACTGTCAAAATATTTCTGATCTAGGAAGGTCCCAAGCTCTGAGTACAAATGAAAATGCAACTGGGACAGCAACTGAGAGATCTTCACTGTGCATCATATCTCACATTCTCATACCACACAGTATTCGCAACCAAAAGTAAATATGAAGTAATATTTATTCAATTTATATAGCTGGCCATTTCACATTCATGACTCAAAACTAATACTGTATTTAGTTAATGAAGAATATGTTGGACCAATTGGGAGGTAGTTTACCAGGTTACAGGTAGTCCTCAACTTATGATCAACATTGGGATCAGAATTTCCATTGCTAAGCAACGCAGTCATTGAGTTGTATCCAAATTTTATGACCTTTTCCCCCATAGTTATTAAGCTAATCACCATGTTCTTAATTGAATCACATAGCTGGTAAGTGAATTTGGCTTCCCCCACTGTGTTTGCTTGTTGGAATCCCTCTGGGAAAGTTGCAAATGGTGATCCCATGATTGGAGGACATTGCAGCTGAATTACCTGAATTTTGTGAATCACATGACCGCAGGGATGTTGCAAAAACCATTTACGTTTGAGGATTTGTCTTTAATCACTTTTTTCAGTGCTGCTATAACTTTGAATTGTCATTAAACAAATGGTTCAAGTATTCTGAATATTACTACATAAATTACTTTTATGTAATAGATTTCAAACATAGAAGGACTTGCAAATGAATAAAACAAAGGTAGCAAATGGCAGCATGGAGCTAATCTTGGTGGAACTTGCAAAAAGTTAAGCAGGATTGGATCTCACTAGCATTTGGATTAGACACCATCAGAAAGGGCTTACACTTTAAAAAAAATACTTCTGAAGAAGACAATGGCAAACTCCTTCCATATCACTGCTAAAAAAATCTGCATGAACATGTTAAATTCAACTTGAGGAAAATTTAACTATTGTTAAAGGAAGACTAACTAAGCTTCATTGCCCTAATAGTCAAAATTATTGACAAATCACATTAGAAATTTTATTAAGGTATTTAAAAATAGACTTTAATATATGTTAGAACAGTACAACTTTTAATCTGTGACTCTACAAGTATAGTCCTTAATAATTTTATTAAAATTTAGTATCCAAAGTACAATACTTTGCATAATGATGGTTAGTAAGATATTTCATGCACATCATATTAATTTAAATTAGATTATGACTTTTATGTGGCGAAAAACGCTCATCTTTTCAGGCTGTTTTTTCAGGCTGATGTATCTTCTCAGCTGGGACTGTATTTTCTATATAAAATGGGAATTATGACTTATCCAAAGCAACCTACTGTGTCATGTGGCACAATAATATTTTTTCTAAGATAATTACAAGTAGTCCTCACTTACAGACCACAATAGGAACTAGTAATTCCATCACTAAGCAGTGCGGTTGTTAAGCATGATACCATATGACAGTGGTTTGCAACTTCTTGCTGGCTTAGCCATTGACTTTGCTTGGTGGAAGCTGCTGTGAAGGTTGCAAATGGTGATCATGTGATCATAGGACTCTGAGTCAGTTGACAAGAACGTGACTGTGGGGACACTGACAGTTACAACTTCAAGAGCCAGTCATAAATCCCTATTTTCAGTGCTATCTAAGTAGAAACAATCACTGAACAAGTATTGCATTGATCCACTATGGTGAGCAGTAAATTCCTCTGAATACACTTGGACTTAAATGTATAAATAATGTAGGATCAAGCTGATGCTGCTATTCTTTTTGCTTAATCCTGTATCGATAATGCAATCTCGATAACTATCTGCACTGGATGGATAGAAGAATGAAAGAAAACATAAAAGTGTATTGCAACACGGTATTCTTTAGAAGTTCATATCTTTAAAAACAGAAATGCTTTCAATGTGCTAAACCTAATTGTATGGTACCAACATGATTTTTCTACAAATCATACTGATTTTTTGTGTGTTTGAGGGTAGAGGCAGAAAATTTTTTGTTATAGCTTTATAGGTCACAAATATGGAAAGAAAAAAGAGATTTAGGGGCTTTTATTGAATTTACAAATACCCTTTTTAGCTTCGTATAATTTTCTCCTGTTCATAGGAATGACTCAAAGAATAATAAGAGGCAGCAGGAACACCTCTGAAATATTTCCTCCAACCTCATTTGTTTCCATTGATCACAGAAAAAGTACAGTGAAAGTACATACTTTTGCAGCCTCTATGCATTTCCAAATTAGTTTTTCTATAATTGCCTGTTACATGCTTAGTTGCATGCTTTTTTCGCACCTCTCCTGAAGATAAAAACAAAATAATTCAGTCTAGATAGTCTTCATGTTATGACAGCAATTGGTACTGCAGTTTCTGTCATTAAGGAATGCAGTCTTAAAGCATGATGGCAGATGACTGCATTGCTTCACAATGGCAGTCCCAATAATCCCGGTTGCCATTGTAACTGTGCTGGTCATTAAGAGAGAATCTCCTGTGACTGGAGTCAAGCAGCCCGTGGGAAGAGTTTCGAAGAGGTGAGGGAGTGCTGCAGGCTGGTGGTTGTGTCTGCAAGTGAACAGAGAGGTTCTATGGAATGTCAGATGCCTGGGTTCTTGTACTTCATAGTGAAGCACGGGGGGGGGGGAGGAGTGGGAACAACTTAGAGAAGCAACTTGCAACCTTTCCCTCTGGCTTCCTCGTTGACTTTGCTTATGGGAAGCCAGCAGGGAAAATCACAAATGGAGGTCACATGACTTGCTGTAATGTCATAATCACAAGCCAGGCACCAGAGCACCCAGATCACGATCAAATGACCACAGGTACATTGGGATGACTGGTAGTCTGAGAACTGGTTGTTAGTGCTCCTCTTTCAGGAGCATTATAACTTTGAATTATTGGCATATATCCAGTGAGTATATTGGATACTCATCTTAATGGATGTTCTTTGTCAGTGGCTTCATATAAATATTAACCTGGAAAGGGCAAGCGGCCAAGCGCTGTTAAACATGTCATAATGGACAGACCAAGGAGAACCATTGCAAGCATTATGTCTCATAAGCAATCCTCCTAGGCAGCCCAGAAGAGACAATGATATGAAAGGCCACTAAAATCTCATAATTCTCTCTAGGTCAAAGAGAAATAGAAAAATGGTAAAATTAACTTGCTAGTGCAATTTTATCTAGCACAGCCTACAAAAAAATCACTAGGATGTTTCATCTATGTGTCATCAGTCACTAGATATCCACGATATTCAATCATCCATCTTGTTAATCCCTCTTGTGAAATGAAATTCTTCTTCTTGTGAAATCTGTGCTAATATGACACACTATAATAAGGCTCCACTTGATTGGGGAAATCTTGAATTTTATGGCTGCACACAGAGCATAGCACCAAGCATTTCTAGCCTTTTTCATGTAATGATCATAACACCACACAAATCCTCACCAAATCTTCAGCATAGAAAGATTCTTCTCAGACCATCACTTAGTACTCCTTAACCCATAATACTTTTCACAACAAACCAGGACTAAAATGTTTTTTTTCCACTTGGAAACTCAAAACACATTTATTGCAAATGTATGATTCAGGCAAAGAAACACAGGGAACTGAACAGATGTTTTTTTATAGAAAGGATATGTTCCATGAAGTGCTACTTGATATCAACATAAATAACTATTTCTTCTGAGAAATCTTACTAAATTAAAAAAGTACTCTCCATATTTACAAAACCGCCATTGAATTCTTTGAAGTATTGCTTGAAGTTTCATAGGCTTTTTTATTTATATCTCAGATCTAAGAATGCACTTTTGAAGCCATTTACATCAGTCCATTTTTATCACTGTAGAATGATTGAGTACCTCTCTTTGAGAATTTGTACAAATCTTCATTTCATTGTGTTGGCTGACTTTTACCGCAGAGCTTCCGGGATTTCCACCTAAAAAGAAGGGTGTTTTACTTAAATTAGGAATACGAACTGGAACTAAAAGAATAAAGCATCTAAGTAGAGAAACACCCACAGTTTCAATGTTCTATTGTACTGTGTATTGTAATAGTGAGGACTAGAATATAGATGTTTTAGATACATATTGGGCTTGCTGGCAAGAATATAAAGCAGTGTGGTCTCAGAGGATATGTGATCAAAAATTGGATTCCCTACTGAGAGGTAAAAAGAAAAAGCAAAACATGTGTTTTAAGTTACATAGATTCAATCCTTAAACCTCATCAAGTCCCCTCTTAAATTGAGGATTTTTCCATCCATTATTGCAGGGGTCCCCAAACTTGGCATCTTTAAAATTTGTGGACTTCAACTCTCAGAATTTCTCAGCTAGCAGGGTTGGCTGAGGAATTCTGGGACTTGAACTCCACAAGTCTTAAAGTTGCCAAGTTTGGAGCCCCCTGCACTATTGGAACAGAATGGCCTTTCTGATCTGCAAAAATCATGGTAGCTATGTCATTCTGAATAACAGAATTCTGTTTCTCTTTATTCTTTCCAAAAGTAGGTCAGAAATTATGGGCAATAGGTACACATTGTTGCTTATCTTGTATGAGTACAAACAACAAAGCTAAGTAAACTTTGTTGTTTACTTTGTTAGACAATTGGTAGAATATTATCATCTAGATCAACCAAATGTTAAAATAGACCTGACTTCTGAGCTGATTCCTTTAATGATTATATTTCCCTTAAAAGGGTAAGCAGACACATCATAAAAATCATATCATCCTTTTGTATTACCTTTCTGGATATCTATCAATTACTTTAGCACATTAACCAAGAATACATATATTTGTAGAACTCTCACGGACATATAAGTGTCCTCTTGATAGAATTGATCACACATAAGAAGGTGATATTTTGCTTTCATATCCTGCTGCTTTAACATTATCTTTCCAATTAGAGAAACTGGCATACATGATGTGAGAGGCAGTTTCCCAAATCCATTGTGGGAGTGCTCTTTCAACTGCCAAATTCTATCATCCCTAATGTGGGGTGATCTGCTAATATAAGAGAACTATGGCTGAACAAACATGATTTCCACTGTACAATTTCAAAAATGGAAATAGCTTTTGAACCACAATAAAGATTACAGATTACTAATTATATTAGAAATTCAGGTCCTTCAGTAAAGATTGTTCGATTGGTTATACACCATAAAGTCATTCTGAAGCCCAACGATCACATATTAGATTTGTTCTTGTTACTGTACAAGATGAATGCCATTAGAACTCTGTGAAATAAGTGGAATGATCAACTGCATAGCAGTTTAAGGCACCAAAATACAGACTTTAGGTTACAAAATTCCTCTCTTTGTATGATTCAAGAAAAAAAAAGTCTGCATTTCCTTTCCATTGAACAGTTGTCAGAAAAATCACTTAACCTCAGTGGTGGGATTCAAATATGTGAACAACCAGTTCTGTGTGGATGCCACTTCCGGAAGTCCATTCTGGGCCTGGGCAACAAACAATTAGCTACCCATTCTACCGAAGTGGTGTGAACCAGCTGAATCCCACCACTGCTTAACTTTTACCACTGAGGGAGGAGAAATGGTTTGCCTCCAATTCATCTTGAACCCAGAAGTTCCCTCCTATCTTTGAATCAAATGTGGGTACCTCCCACTTGATATGACAAGATTACATGAGCCTTGAATATCTGACTGTAATTATGATTTCTCTTTTGTGAACCAAATTAGTTATCCTGTCTTTAAATGCTAGTTTATTTTAAGACACAAAATTGGATCAAATGATAAAGTAGGATGGAAATGGGAATCGGAGATGAATCTAAAAATGAGTAGACCTCTTACTTTGCAGAAAATTTATTTTTTAGCACAAAGGAGAAATGTGGAAGAACAGCAATGAGAAATCATTGATTTGTAGGAGCAATGTAATTTTGTTTCATACCCAAAAATGCCAGTTGAGGCAGTTTGAGATTTGAGAGACTGTTTGTAAGAAGCTCTTTCTACGAAGTTCCTTCTTGAGGGTTCTAATCTATCAAGGTGACCTCACTATCAGCGCTCAATTCCTACAAATTCTCAGAGGCAAGTTAAGGAAGTACTTTCTCTTTTTCAACAAAGTGATAAAAAATTTATCGCCCTATAGATTATCCTTTGAAAAAAAGTGTGATTATCTGTCGTGCCCAACTCACCTAAATCAACTCTAAATCAACTCCTGAAATTAGAGTTACTTACCCGCCTTAGCTGCTTTATGCTACTTCCTCGAATTGCCTCCATAAGATCAGTGTGGAGTGATCTTACTGGGGTAGAAGGTCGGCTTGAAGGACGTGACCCTTCTTCTGATACATTGTCTGGGATGGATTTTAATGAATTTTTAATTTCTTTTAATATTGCATTCTCATATTGTTTATTTTTCTTGCTTTTTTTCTTCTTCTGTTTATTTTGTAGATCCCTTTTAGCACTTTCCTGCTGTTTTATAACCTCAGCAATATTCCTGGTGGGTGCTTTTTTTTCTACAACTATTTGAGGAGGAGGTGGTGGTGGTGGAAGAAGAGGAGGAAGAGGAGGTGGTGGTGGTGGAGGAGGAGGAGGAGGAGGAGATGGTGCAGTTGGTGATGGGGGTGGTGATTGTGGTGGGGGGGAGGGAGATTGGTTTTTAATAGCAGTGTCTTTCTTTAAAATCTTTGGAGAAGGCATAGGTGAACTTTTGGGAGGTGAAAGTTGGTTTTGAGGAGGTGAAATTTTCTTAGAAATCTTTGGAGAAGACCAAGGTGAACCTCTAGGAGATGAATATGGTGAAGAACCAGGAGTTCCCTTCTGCAATGCTTTGGTCTTTGGACTCAGTGCTCCATCCCAACTGGACTGTTGCTGTTTCTGTTCTTGCATCCGTTTCTGCCTTTGTTTATCCATATTTCTTGTCAGAATGCTTGTCATACTCATTCTTGGTCCAGCAAGCTCGAAGTGATAGCCTAGTTTCACAATAGTAGTATTGTCCCTTAGAAGTTTAACCATGTCCATTTCAACTTGACTGCCCATTATGTGCCTTTGGTTATGGAATCGTAGTTCTGTTAAAACTTTATTGTTTTGTAAAGCCCTCGTGATAGCAAGAATTCCTTTACCTGTGATAAAATTAGAATCTAGATTCAGACTCACAATATGGTCATTCACCTTTAGCACACCTGCAATAGCCATTGCAACATTGTCGTCAGCATGAGTGTTAGCCAGATTAAAAGTCTTCACTACAGTGTTATTCCGCAGGGCCTGAGCAAAATGTGTTAGCATCTGTGGTGTGATATTTTCAATATTGTTTAAATTGACTTCAGTAGTTTCAGCATCATTACTCCTAACTTTTTCTAATGCATCTTCAATCACTGTTGGATTTCCACATGGGTGCATGGCTCCCATTCTGTAGTTCAAATATTCCGCTTCCTTTTCACTGTGACCATTGGTAACAATTTCATTTTCATTGTGGTTTTTAAGTTTAATGTTGAGTGAAGTTTGCTTCCTAGTATTTGGAAGTTTTTCACACTCTTCAACAGATTCCTCTTCATCATCTGTACTACTTGCTTCTTCTTCTCCGTCATCTTCTTCATCCTCTTCCTCATATTCCTCATTGTTCTTTTCATCCTCTTTATTTTCATCCTCTCCGTCCTCTTTTTCATTGGGTGCTTCTTCAGAAAGTTCGCTGTTACTTCCTGTAAAATATTCTTCTTTAATTTCATCTGACTCATCACCACCGTCATCATCATCATCACCTTCTTCTTCTTCTTGCTTATAATCCTACAAGGGAATTATGATCAAAAGGAAATGATAAAAATGCATTTAATCAGTAAAGGTCCTCAAATTTTATTCAGTGAGCTTTCCTGGTGATCTTTTCCAGATAATTATTATAGAAAAATTATGCACCATGATTTTTCATTTGATTTTTGAGAAGCAGTACTTTCAAATTCAATTTTGCATAAAAATACTCAATTTATTTAAGCATCTGATCACAATTTATTGAAGATGTTTGAATTTAACAATGTTGTGATTGTGTGTCATAACATCTATTAGAAAGTTCACAATATTATTGAGGGTTAACAGCATAATGAGTGCTACTCTAATCTTATTTGTCTTCAATTGAATATTGAATATTTTCAGAGAACGGCACCCTGGGAAGTGGCAGCTGCAGGTTTGATTTTAAAAAAAAACCAAAGTGAGGAAGTTAGCTTCCATCATGTCCACCTGTTTCTGATCTTGAGTGAGGAAAACAAGAAATGATTGGTAATTGAATAATTTCTAAAATGTTTTACTTAGCATAATGTGTAATTCATTTATTCTTCCAATCCAAAAGGGGATAGCCCAAAATTTCATCCTGCAGAAGATCCTTGTAAGCACTGCAGAAAATCCCCACAGAGTTAGCTCAGTGTTTATTTAATTTGGTCCTTTGAAATCAGCCTTGATAGCTGTTGACTACATGGAAAAGCCTTTGTGGTTTTCCTGGCAACTTTTGCAGAAATTGTTTGTCATTGCTTCCTTACTAAGACTAAGAAAGAGTGACCGGCCTAAGATCACGGTCTCACATTTTCTAGTCTAGGCCTTTAAGCCATTATGTTGGCTCAGGTCAATTTTGTTGTCAGACTGTAATTTTTAACAAGAGTGAATTTATAGAATGCAATTTATTGTAAATAAATATGAATGTAAATACATTTGCTTTTATTTGTATATATGCCCTATTTCTGGATTTTTAGCATGCCACTCAAAGTCCAAGTCAGATGTTGGGACCAGAAAAAATTGCTTATCCCATTCTAATCTGTCTAGCTGTATTCTACAGTACTAGAACAGGACAAAATCAGTACGCACAATTTCAGTGTTGACATCTCACAAAGAGTTATGTCAATGTAGAAAAAAAAAACAGTTGATGCTGTCAGTTTTGTTTCTTCAGTGAACGCTTCCTAATTATGCTATTTGGATCCCTTCTTTGCTAAACTTGTATTAACCACAATATACACTTAGGTAACCTTTTTTTTTTTGCTTGAATGTCACCGAAATGTTCATCATTACCTCCCCCCCCTCAAAAAAGCATTAGGATTCTTATCTAGCCCTCTTAATTGTATAAGCAGTTTTATGCACTTTCCCTCCCAACTGCTAGCCATAGCCTCACTTTATCAGTTCTAGAACTGAAATGAGTAGAAAATCCTGGAAGAATACAAATATTATAACTATTTTAATAAGCAAGGTCATGAAAAAACACTGCTATTCAAATTCTGTATCCAGCAATTAAGCATGGAGAATTTAGATCTCCCATTATTGCATATTCCTGTTTCAAGCTGCTACAATTCGTTTTCTTCCAACCATGCGAAGTTCCCAGATGAAAAATGGAATATCAGCAGTATACCCAGGACCATTTATTAGTAACAACCTAATTGTTTATTGTTTTTCTTTTACTGTTACACAGGCAGACACCCACAGAGTTTTGTATGAGTTTGTGTGTGTGTGTGTGTGTTGGGATCGGGAGCTAGAACACCATTGAACTGTAGAGGAATATTATCCATGCACACTCCATGCCTGCAGCGTAAGTGCTTTGTCTTTAAAAAAGTTTGAAGCTTGAATTACAACCATTGGGCTTGAAACACAGAACAATTTCAGAGGAGTGCCAAGCAGTGTCAAGTGTAGGTTGAAATTAAGTCTAGAATTAACTGTGCTTGTACATTCCCAGCTCCAGACATAATGACTGTTGTTGCTATTTGGGTATACCATTGAATTACATAACTCTAAATCCTGCTTTTTTCATCATTACTTTTTTCTTACTTGGATTATAATTGTTGTTATTGCTTGTTACTGTTATTTCATTCTGCCCTTGGAAAGGCAGGATGACCAGTAACTATTAGTACTTGGACTGCATACCAACACCCAGGCTTCAAGCACCAGGATAAATTCCTTCAGACTGGTTCTGATAAGAATGAAACATGACTCTATCTGTTCAGAGTTAAATAAAGCCCTGTAATCTGGATGCTGCTAGGAGTGCTATTTTCTCTTTTCTAGTTGTTATGCTTAATTCCAATTTTCTGCTCTAGAAAAACAATGTTATGTTATAAAAGAAACAAAAAATACATGTGGGAAAAATCAATACTATTTGGCTAGCTAGAGAGACCATCTCACTTGTAGTTATTTAGAAATCTTTTTCTTCTAGTTTAATATTAAACTCATTATTGTCCAACCAAGTATTTCTAATTTTCCTTAAATTTTGCCTCATCCCAATCTTTTGATAGACATAAGTCACTCTCTTTCTTTTTTTATTATGGCTGTTATGGTCAGCACAGTGCTGTTATGATATTATTGATAGAGACTGGGCTGAAATTTGAAATGTATGGCCTTTGTTTAGGACAGACATGTCAAACTCGCGACATCAGTTGACGTTGTGCAACTTATCGGAGCTTTTTCCCCATTGCTGGCAATGGGGTGGGCATGATTTCCTGGTGACACATCCAGCCCATGGGCCGGCAATTTGACACCCCTTGTTTAGGAGGTTAAAATAGGAAGGGGGTGATTTTATGTTTGTATTTCTTCCTAAAACCACAGTTTAAAAAATCCACTGAAAGGTAGATTTTCTAATTAAGATCTCGTTCTCTGTCTCTATTGCTTGCTCATTATCCACTATCTGTAGTCCTCACTTTATGACTGGTGACTTAGTGACTGTTCAAAATTACAACATTCTCTGCAGTTCCCAAATTCCAGTGGCTGTATACACACACACTGTGATCATTTGATCACCTTTTGGGCAGTTAGCAACTGGATTTATGGCAGTCATGTGACCATGATTTTTGCTGGTTTCCAGTATTTATCTCAGATTTCTGGCAAAAAATTGGCATTAGATAAAATGGATTTGTTTAACAACTGTGACATTTGCTTAATGAGCTTGCTTAATGACCACCACATAAAAGGTTGTAAAATTGAGCAATAGAGACATAGTGACCCACTTTATAGCTCTGATTCTGGGCTCAGTTATGGTCATAAGTTGAAGATTACCTCTATGTATCTCTCTATCATTCTATCTTTTATTTACACTCTATCTATCTATCTATCTATCTATCTATCTATCTATCTATCTATCTATCTCATCAATCATCTATCATAAATATGAAATAGTCATTTGTATGATTTTTATTTATTATTTATTTGATTGCTATAGTTGCCTATCTCAACAAGTGACTCCTTGTTTTGATTACAATACTTTTTAGCATGTTAGAAGCTGCAGTGCTCCTTCTCAACTCATTTTAACAAATTACTCTGAACCTTTTTCTGAGTTTATAAAGCTTGTATTATGGAGTTTCTTTAAGAACTTTGGAATTGGGGAGTTAGAGACAGAATAGGAAGGATAAGAGAAGGGGAAGTAGAAGGACAAGGGATGGACAGAAAGTTGATAGAGACTTGTTGGTACATCAAGAAACAATCTTCAACAGATCAGTAAAGAAGTTCAATTACCACAATGTGTAATACCTGTAATAAGATTTATGCCTGGCCTTATTCAGACAATAAATTTATTCTGATGATAAAAGAAGAAGGAAGTATACTTGCATTATCCTCACTTTGCTATACATTCAATATGCCAGAAGCAAATATTTGAAGTGCAGACTTATGCACACCAGTTTCTTAACTTCTACCACTTTTCTATCATTTGAAATCCTGGAAAATATGATATCCAAAATAATAGAAAGAAGTAGATTGAAGTTAGCATGCATATCGCCACAGGCCCTCATCACATGACTTATTTTAAAATCTGAATAAGACTCTTAAATATTCAGGTCTTTTCTGTGTATATAATAACACATGAAAGGCAGCCAATAATTAGCATCTTCCCTTGTGTCATCATTTTGTACTAGCTTTTATTGCTGGAATTCAGGGTTTTCCCTAAAGCAGATTAAATGCTATGAATCTGAAATGTGGTAGGCCACATCTGTTGTAATACAATGCTAAACAGAATTTGATATTAGATGTGTTACTGAAGCTGAGATATGAGTGATACATTTAGCAAAAATACATAATCAATCCAACTGTGGCCATGTCAGTTCTTCTCAGCTTGCACTTTGATGATTTTTTGGATGTTCCTTCATGTAAAAAGAATATTTGTATATAAAAAAGATCTTCACAGTATAAACTAACATCCTGGGAAGCAGAGTTCTGAAGCAATGAACTCACTGGGATGATAATTTAATAGTACAGAGGAAGAAAATGTATACTACTCTACAGCCTCTGCTTGTTAATAAAGTTTCTACTCTTGATCAATTGACTTTTTGGTTTGATGGAAAATACAGAGCAGGGAAACCATTCAACTGAATAAGAGTTATTTCTGGGGCCAAATTAATGCATTTATCGTCCTACCTGTTCACATGCCCCCATCCTCTCTTTTTCCAGAAGTTTCCTGGTCTCCCTTTCCCAGTAGGCCATCAGTGCTTCCCGGCTAAAAGTTCCTGTGGGAGTTTTTTCCGTTAGACTCTTTTGCCTATGCCCCACAGGAAGGCTCCGGTCAGGCTCAATATCTTCCAACTCCTTCTCTAGCTCCTTCAGCTCCTCATCAGTAAGAGAAGCAAGGAGTTCATCTTCATCCAGGTCTTCATATTTACTAAGCTCTCGCCTGTAGCCAAAGTTAGACATGATCCCTTCTGTTATCAGGCTGATGTAAAGTTGAAACTACAATGCAGCATTCACAGAGACTGAAACCAAGGTATCCTCATCTGCTTTGGTTGGCAAATGTTCCCCCCCTCAGTAACTGCAGCACCTTTTAAAAATATTCCTAGGGGGTTGCAACAATGCACGGAAGGATGAAAGCATGCTCTGTTTTAAGCATCAGACGTCAGCAAGAGTTGAGCAGAAAGAATGTCCCAGTGCACCAGTGTCTTATGTCTCTGAAACACGGAGATTACTGACACACTGACAAGAACCATATTTAGAGTGGCTTGATAAAAGGAAAATGAATGCTCATCTGTAGATTTAGAAGCCCAGGAAGATAGTTGTTCATAAAGCAACAAGTACACTTACTTTGACAGACAAGACTTTGTGTCTATCCAAGCAACAAAGATCAGGTAACGAAAGGGGTGCTTTGTTCAGCATGATAGGGTCGTTCCAAAGTGGGACAAAATATTTTCTGAGCTGGGACACCCTTCATTTTCATGGCCCAACAGGAAGAGAATGGATAATAACTGTTCAATTTGAGATTTGCTCATTTTGATGGAAATAGGTGAATTTATATTAAAAATATCAAGATATGGAAGTGAATCTGAATTTGACACCTAAAGCCTTTTTTTTAAAAAAAATATTGTTAAATATGCATACTGGGAGAACAGCAATATTGCTATGATAGAAATCATTTTGAAGAGATGGATTTGATCTTTATAAACTCTTATATGAAAGGATATGATATGTATTTTCCTGCATTAATCTGAACATTAAAAATAAGGGGGTGGGGTGGAAATGCTTGCATTTCTGTGAATATTTTGTTGTTCTTAGATTGTAAGCATTATCATTAGAATAATTGAATAAAAGTTTTGAGAAAAATATGTATGGTTTAATTATTTCAATTGGTTTCAAGCATGCTTGACTTTCAAGTGGGCTGTGTTCTAAGTCTGTCTGTCTTTTTCATACAAATATAAATATAAGACATTGGTAATAGGCTAAATGATCTTCCTGTAATTGCAGATTCTCTAAATAACATTGAGAAGGGTTGCATACATTTAATTAGATTAAGCAAATATCTGCAGCAGCAGTATTAAATGGTAGTTGAGACTATACTTGATTTATTAATAAAGAGTTTCATCTTTCCTCTTTAAAACATACATATGACAACCTGGATTATCTTTAAAGATGAGGTAACCCCAGGGCTCATATACATTACTGAATCATTTTTCTGACAGCTGACTCTCACAATCTTTTATTTGTATTACTTCCATCATTTTCTGTGAAGTTTGATTAAAGCCTTATTTGCTCTGGTCACAGACAAGTTTAATTTTTATTCTGTTATTTTGTGTAGGTATCTGGATGCCTACAATTGCAGAGTAAAATTCTAGAGAAACAAGATATTAGCAGTTATAAAAGAAAAGACAACGAGATGTAATAAAATCATGATCAAAGCAATGCAATGACTTTTAAATGACAATAAATATATTAATGTGCTCCAGGTAGAAGAATGCTAATAATAGTAAAGATTCCTCTGTTTATGGGTAAGTTCTTTGAAATGTATAGGCTTGCTGGCATCATTCAAACTGAAGTTGTTAGGCATAACAGTTACCTAAGGTGGTGATGTCTTCTTAAAGTACTAAACATAAGCCTAGTCCAAAATTGTAAAAAAAAAAAAAAGAAGAAGAAGAAGAAGCTATTTCTATGTTGACAGATGGTGTTCTGGAGATAGCTATTTTTGTGTTGGAACAATGAGTGTGGCTCCTTTGTGCCTTCCTGGAACAGACTTCCCTTAAGTTAGCAGAGTGATCTGGCTTCAAAAAGATGAATGCAATTTTAAGATACATTCAAAGTTTCATTGCAAAAACATCAAAGGAAGCAATTATCACATAGCATTGCTTTCCTCTGCTTCACATAGACCTCATCTGGAGCTTTAAGCACAATTTTCTGTATCACAACTTTCATAAAGCTAAACACAAAAAGGCATATATTTGGAAAAAAGGCGACAGAGAGCAGGTCATATGGGGTAAAAGTAGAGGAAGAGGTTATGTTTAACATGTAGAAGAAAAAGCTGAGTGAGGCTTTGATAAACTGTCCAACATTGATTTTGCTTGGTAGTGGCAATGAGTGAAAAGTAGATCTAATGGACATATATTCTCTGAGGGTTATTTTCACTTAAATGTTAGAACAAAAAAGGTTAAAGACTGACTCAATAATTTTAAAAAAGGGTGGGCTCATTCTTTAAATTAAAAATCTTAATTTTAAAATTAAAATGAGCAACCAGGCAAAAATGAGCAACCTGCCTCACACCCAACCTAGAATTTGGTTAGATCATTGAAAATCAGCTGTTATGGTGAAGTAAGAAACATGGTGCTTGATGTTAGAAGAAAACTTCACAGTAACAGGTTTTACAGAGAACTAGTGGAATGGAATATGGTTATCTCTTAATATAAGATCTACAGACAAGATAGGGTGGGATGCATTGATGATGGAGTGACTGGAATCCCACAAAGGAGAATCCAAAACTGGAGCAAATTCTCACCTGGTCATTGTGGTCAGATCAGTTCCCCAAATCAAGTAGGAACATGCCCTCTTGATTTAGAAGTTAAAGTTGACTTTCAGATGAAAAACAGAATTAGACAGGCATCTGAAAAAGAAATAATAATAGTAATGAATGCATTCAATTATCTTCACATAGATTAAGAAAATGCAGGTCCTTGACTTGATATGGAAACCTAATTTCTAGACATCCTTAATGATTATGCTCTGAAATATCTAGCCTGGAGCCAATACCAGACTGATCATAAATAGTGCCCTGTAACGACTCCTCTGGACACTTCCCCAGATACCTCTCCAGATGTCAGTTCAGAGGAGGATGAACCAGTCCCAGGCATATCAGGAGGGGAATTGGTCAATGGCTCCAAGCAGCCATCTGAGAGGGATTTGACTGAAGCACAGGTGCAGCAGGACAACCCTGAGGCTTCAGGTGGGAAAAACATGTTGCTGCAGCCCGTCAGCAACAAGGAAGAGGAACTGCTTTCTGCACCTGATTCGAGAACATGTAGGGCTGAAAAAAGGCAGGAGCAGCAAAGGTTAGCCTGATTGCTCATGAGGAGGCAGCAATGCCCCTCTTGATGGACTGCACCAGAAGCTGAGTATTTAGCACAGCAGACAGATGGAGATGATGCTGAGAATTAATATGTTCATTTCCTAGCTGTGTGTTTTCTGTTCATTGTGATTCATGTCTTGCTTTGGATTGACACTGTGCCTTGACTTGTATCGTGCTTTGTGAACTCTGGACTTTTCTTGCCTTGTGAACCCTCTTATATTGTGTATTTTGCCTGATAGTTTATCTTGTTTGGGAAACTTTCAAGTGCCTTGTGGACTCATTGGCCATTACTCTGTGGACTAGCACTGGTCTGCTTTTGGCTGAACTTAATTGGGACAGTTCTGGGATTTTAGTGAAGGGAATTGCTAGGGAATATTAATAAACCCACTAAACCACCATTACATGTGTGTGAGTGAGTGGGACAGCACATGTCCAGAATCATTTCAGGACTTAAAAAGTGTTCAGATAAATGCAGTGGTGGGATTCAAATATGTGAACAACCGGTTCTCTGTGTGGCTGCTGCTTCCGGAAGTCCATTCTGGGCCTGGGCAACAAAAAATTAGCTACCGGTTCTGCTAAAGTGGTGCAAACTGGCTGAATCCCACCACTGGATAAATGGGAACATTAATCACCATGCTAGGATCCACATGTATATAAATGGGTGCTTCAAAGAAAGTTCAAACCAATCAAGTTTTACATAAGGTCCTGAAATTTTCAAAAAATGAGGGGACTGATAAAAAGAAAGTTGAAAGAGAGAGTTAAGAAGTAATTCTGTATGCAATTCATGGAGATTATTTAAACTGCAATATTAGACTCACAGTTAGAATGTAGAATTGAAATCAGTAAAAGGGTTCATGAAATCCAAAATAACATCACAATGGTTAATAAGCAATTGAGGAATGCTATTAAAGACACAAACTCCTACTGAAAGAACACAAAATAAAATTAGTTCTGACCAAAAAAAAGCATCAGCTGATCAAAAATACAAAAGGGAAAAAAATGATTAATACACAACAAACAAAACAATATTCAAATGTATCCAGAATAGAAAAAACACACCACCCATAAAAGGGTCACTAGAGTCCAGATTCATCTATTTCCTTTCTACAGGTATCCAGGTTCTTCTTTGCTACACAGTCACTCACCAGGGGTCTCAATGTCCATCATTCAGGATGTCAGTCTGCTCTGATCTCTCACCCAGTCACCTCCACTCACCTAGCTTGGGGTCACCCCTCTGGTCACTCACCTGCCCACTCATCTGGGCCTCTGTTGTCTCCTCTCTTCTTTCTAGATTCCAGCCAGTTGGTTGACCAATGAAGACCCTCTGTTTGTTGAGGGTACCACATTTTCAAAGTAGTAAAGTCAAAAAAGTATTGTGAAGAACTCCAAAATACATCTCCAAACTGGTAAAGTCAATTCATGATGGCAAATCTAGTTTACTGTAAACCAGTATGTGTACATATGTAGGAGTGGTATAGTGGCCTAATGGTGAAGATGCTCCCTTCCATTCAGAAGGTTGAGAATTCAATCCTAGATAGCAGCAGATGTTTCTCTCCTAGGGTGCAAAGAAAAAAATATCTGCTGCAAACTCTGCATGGGATCAAGAAGTGTATCAGGCCAGTAAACACTCAACTTCATCCAGTTCTGATTCTACCCTGAATTAAGGGATTACAAAGCCATAAAAAGGGAGTTTAGTATGTGTATGTACGGGTCCACTGTCTGTATGTATAAATAAATGAAATCCACCAAATCAGAATGCTAATCTTGGAGTCATCAGCACTTCCATAAAAATGTTAAGAGAGTGTGCAGTTACTGTTAATCAGCAATTTTTATGCTTGCAACTCTTTAGGAAGAGAATTGAAAACAGCTATTGGTGCAATAATGCAACAATCCTCTTTAGAACAATCCTTATATAAGGGATGATGCGACTACACTTGGAGGACTAAGTTCAGTTCTGGCCATGAAAATTTTAAAAGAATATTATTATAACAGGAGATTTGGGATTGAAACATACCTCTCATAAAAAAAGATAACAGCAGTGAGGACACTTTAGCCTGAAGCAGGAGATTAACAAGAAATATGATTAAGGTAAATAAAATAATTTATAGCATAAGTAAGATAGTTTCTCTATATCTCAATACTTTTTCACACATAGTTAAACTGAGGAATTTGCTGCCAGCAGTTGTAACTGATCTTAAAAGGGGACTAGAGAGGTTTATGGGAGGGTCACACTTCCATGGCTACTAATATTGAAAGCTGTTTACTGCCTCTTCAGCATGCTCAGTATGCCTCAAATGCTGGTTGCTGGGATCCAACAGTGAAAAGGCTTATGAGCTTCCCAAGCTTGACCATTGTGTAATACAGGTAGTCCTTGACTCACAACCACAATTGAACCCAGCAGTTCTGTTGCTAAGTGAGACAGCTGTTAAGTGGTTAAGGGCTTTGCCCCATTTTACAACCTTTCTTGCCACAGTTGTTAAGCAAATCTCTGCACTTGTTAAGTTTCAGTTGTAAAGTGAATCTGGCTTTTCCATTGACTTTGCTTGTCAGAAGGTTGCAAAAGGTGATCACATAACTGCAGGACCCTGCAACAGTCATAAATATGAGTCAGTTGCCAAGCCTCCAAATTTTAGTCACTGACTATAGGGATGCTACAACAGTTTTAAGTATGAAAAATGATTA